GTCTATCGACCTTCGCAAACATGTGTGTCCTCATTGTATTTCTAAATACAGCCTTCCATCTTCATGTGGATGTCAGTTTGTGTAGGGTGCTGTACTTTTTTCTCTAAAAGGAATTCTATTAGTAACTTAATAAGAATAACTAAATTAAAATTATGTACTTGAAAGTGTCATTTGTTTTATATAAGATTTACGTATTTGGCTCTTTACCCCTCTGTTTTCATTTAAAAAAAATAATAGTTTGAAAGTCTTACTTAGAAAACGAAATATGGCAATTAAGTAATTAGAATATTAGATAAATATGTAATAATAGAGGATATGGCAAAAACTTAAGCACCTGATGTGCCTTATTCACTTTCAGACAAGCTTTAAGATTAAAGTGAGTGGGAGAATATTGCAGGTTCTTGCCCAGAATGCCAGCTGCCTCGGTGCCATCCTCCAATTGAGTTAATCAGCGTGTCCTTACATATATTCTTTTAAAATAATTTTACCTTAAGTTGGATTTTATATTTGACAAAAAATATCAACAGTATGTTACTGTTGTTGTTGTTGTTGTTAGATGCTATCAAGTTGAGTAGGACTCATGGTGACAAAAGAGCGGAACCCTGCTCTGTCCTGCACCATCCTCTCACTTCCTGACACCCAGAGCCCATTGCAGCAGTCACCGTGTCAACCTAACTGGTTGAGGGTCTTCCTCTCCTTTGCCAACCCTTCACCCTTCCCAGCATCAGGTCCCTCTCCAAGGAATAGCTCCTCCCAGCAACATCTCCAGTTTTGCAACATTCAAGTTACATACTTTCCATGTTCAGATTATTAAACATATGCTTCATTTAAAGGACAAAGGCTTTAGTTTCATACAGCGTTCACACGGGCTGTCTTAGTACACGTTTCATGTGTCTGCTCATAACTTTGCTTTCTACTTGGTTTTGAACCAAGTCTTCCCCGCCCCCCTTACTATTATGCTTGGTGACTCTCACAATTTGGAAAGAAACTCTTCTCTTTATGTTGTACTACTTTTCAGAATGTGTACCTAGTGTGATGTGACACTTTAAAACCCAGTGTTTTTAGAAGTAAACCGAAGTCCCGTCTGAGTGCATGTTCTCATTTCTAGTGATAGCGCGCATGTCTTTAACGTCACCTAGTTTAACACCTGTGAATCTCTCTTCATGAAGCTGATGTTAGCAGGTGAAAGGCTCTTTCAACACCTTTTGTAAACCAGTGCTTAGCACGATTCCAGCAGATCATGATCAAAATGGTAAATATCTTTCACAAAACCTAGTGGATGTTCTCGCACAAGGGGATCTGGAGTTCGTTTATTGTGTTTTGAAATGTTAAAAGTCACAGTTACCATGTTATTGTCTTAATAAATCATATGCCCAATTGTTAGACATTTCTATTGGAAATTGTGTTAACACATTTTGTTGGTTTCTATACGTTGTGTTTCGTTTATGTACCTTGTGTTTTACACATTCTTTCATTAACATAGTGTTTCATATGATCTTCCTCATACACTGTATTTTATAAAATTAATCACCGTTGATCTATGCTCACTATCCTGTCTTTTCAGGTCCCCACTATCCATCACTGAGGAGCAATGATTTTGCAAAATACTATATAACATAGGAGACACTAGAGAGGGTTATGTTGAGTGAACTAACTCAGTCTCATAAGGACAAATATTGTGTAAGACCATGACTGTAAAAATAGAAGCATTACTAGTAAAATGTGGCTAAAAGTCAAAAGGGGAAAAGGGATAGGGTGAGTGGACTAAGAATTGGGGGGGCAGAAAACACAGAGTCACAGAGTTTGGTGGGTGGAGGAGGAGGTGAAGGAATTAGGAAACTGTAAGCCTTTTGTCACCACAGTTAAGATTGTATTAGCGCCACCAGCATAGTTCTTCAAAGCAACCAAAGCAGTGTATTTTAAATGTGAATATTATGAACTCATTTTACAGAGTTAAAACTAGTGAAAAAAGATATTTTAGGTAAATTTCAAACTTGTGATGAACCATTTTTATAAATGTGCAATGTTGTATAATGTAATACACATATCATCATATATATATAATATATAATTCATATATATTCAAAATTTACTGAATAAATATATCCAGATTATTTTCTTAATTAGTAGGTATTCACATTTAAATTATCTATAAAATCTCTATTGTATTTGAAAATTTTCCTTCTAATTAAATTACTTTTCAAGCAGTAAGGAAAAGTTTGTTATCCTGCTGCATACTTGCATGTTTTATACTGTTTGACCTTTGGGTAGGGTGCCTTTTGTGATATGTTTTGTGTCTCCATGTGTAACAGTTATGTCTACCTGACAGCTTAGTTCAGGAACTCGAACAGCCGTGTAAAATGATCATAGTAAACTCTCTTGCACCCTCTGTTGTTATTTCTGGGAAACACTATACAATTCCACGATGGTATTGTCATTGGGCACATATAAAATGCCTAAGAAAAGGAAGACTTCCCTTATCTGACTTACCACCAAATTAGATCAAGTGCTCCAGGACCTTTTGCTTTGGTTCATTCTTGATGTTGTCTTGAGTTACAGGTCTGTTTCTGTTGTGTAACATTAGAAATTAAAAAAAGGAAGCTTTCAGTTTCTCCTCTCTCTCCTGGTTAACAGTTTCAGGCCCTTCCAAGCGCCTCTCACACACGGAAGGCTCTGCAGGGTGTAGCGCACTGTACGTACACTTTTCCAGACTTGTAAATTCTGTTCTTTTTTTAAAAACCTTTCAATTGTCAGACTTCATTTCCTTCCAAAATAAGAGTCTGGATTCAGCCGTACTAACGCGAAGAATTTAGACCTGTGTGGAACAGATGTTTTCATAAACATTTGCTATAATTAATTTCAACTAGAGGATTGAAGGAACAAAGCCGTTTTTCCCGCTTAAAAACTTTACTGCCTTTTCCCCAAATAGCGAACTCCAGAATCTTTTTTTCTAACATTGTTAGTGAAACAATTGTCCTTCCTTTTTTTTGTTGTTGTTGTTGTTTTTGAGGAGAAAATGGAGTTTTTCCTTTTGTTACCATCGTTTATGCTCTGAAGAAAACAGAAAATGTGATATATTTATGTAGAAACAGTTAACAAATGGGGGGAAAACCTTTTTTAATGTATTACCATGATTAAAAGGCAAAAACAAAAGTCTGGTTGTTTAAAAACCAAAAATCTCTTAGTTATTTGAATAATTTTGTATATGAGTTGATAATTATCAGCTTAAAGGGAGAAACATTTTATTGATGAAGTTTTATGTATACTTAGTTTTAAGTACAATAAAATTCAAACTTTGAAAGGATGATAATGGTGATTATTTGATATTGATTACAGAATCCATCACAAGATATGTATGCAAACCATTAAAACCATGTATGTTTTATGAAATTTTCATTTACTGACTTTCTTTAATATTTCCATTTTGTTGTTTCCATTAGTAATTGTTTTTAAAGAAAATGAAGTGTGTCATATGTGTAATCTTCTAGATGCTTTCAAAGAATCAGAAGCATATATTCACTTAGATGGTTCAGGCATATTTTAGATAATTTTCCTCTATAAAGTTGGTCATCATTTTCTAGTGTTGTAATCCATTTTTTTATTTTTGGGTGTTTTTGTTGTTTTTTTTAAATATTGTCCACATATTTGGAGGGGAAAAAAGAAGGCAGTTGGAAGTTCTGTAGATGGAGTGAACTCAGTTCTTGGTCTCCTGAAAGTTTGGGTGAAGCTGCAGGAATTATGAAGAGAGCCACCATTCTTGACTAATCTGCCAACTATAAAATGTGTGAAGAAAAATAGGTAGCTGTCAGTAAAGCTACATTTCTGCTCTCAGGAACCGTTTAATGAGTAGCATAATGATGTAAGTACAGTACCTTCAGTACTGTACGCAATAATTATCAGTTCCTTTTTAAAGGGAGAGCTCGGTAACTGCTGTGACTTCACCAGGACCACTGCGACTGTCTTCCCGGCAGCAAGAGTGTGCAGTGTGGATTAAAGTGAAAATTAAAACTGGACAAATCATTATAAGATTAAGCTTTATACATCATCAAAATGGAAATCATGTGATGCTTGATAGTCGTATTATAGGAATTAGTGGTGTAAAATTAATCAATTTCTAGTTTTTTCAATGTACTTTAAAGAAAAGAACAAATGATATATTTAGTACAGTATACTATGGTTTCTTGTTAAAAAACTCAATAACCTAGACTTTGAAGTATATTTGTTAGAAACACAAACTATAGAAGTTAAATTTTCTTCAATAAAAATGTTAATTTTACGTTGGTAAGCCTTTCCCCCCACTTATTTAAGACATTTATTTTCATTCTAGTCTTTAAACTGACAAGTATGCATTTGTTCCAAGTTTGGTTTTAAAAATAATCTAGTTTCTTGAGTGCTTGTGCTTTTCTCCCAAATGCCTGAGATGGCTGAAGAAAACACACAGCCCCTTTGCTGTGTGTGTTGATGTTTTGACTACTGAACTTTTGGCCATAATCAAAACATAAAGTTTTAGAAAAACCTGTTAAGGCGTATTAGATGCTTAGAGAATGTGTCCTACCACTTTCAAGTTCTGTGGTTCTCACCACATGTAGCAGTGGGCCTGGAAAACCTTCAGGCTTCTGTCATGTACATACGGAGGTGATCATAACTGCTGCCCTGGTCACTAAAAAACTGCGTGTGTTTATAGATGGCTTGTGAATTAGTACTTTCTCAACTTCAGTTTGGTATATGCATCCTAAGAAGAAATTATCCATACTATATTTTCTGGTTAACTTTTATGTTGGTTATATTTTATTATTGACTTTAGGAATGTTTATATTTTGTCATCAAAATAAATTTTTAAAGGACAGGGTCTTGAGTACAGAAATTCATTTGAGGGGAGGAACAGGAGGGTCCGTGCTTCTGGGATAATAGTGCTGCCACAGAGTGGGGTTTTGTTTGAAATATTCCAGTTCAGAGCTTTAGAATCTACATTACTCGGTGTTATTTTTTCCCCCCTCCAGGTGATGCAAATAAAAATGGAAGAACAAGTTCTACTTTAGGATCTGATGGGACGTACAGTTCATACAGGTAAATGATGAATACCCAGATGTATGATCTTAGAAGAGAATGTTCAAGATCTTACTAGATTCCAAGAATAATAAAGGGGGGAGGCATATGCTTCAAAATGTGACACAAAGAATATAAAGGTGTAGAATAATCCAGAAAACTTAAATAATAGAAAATGTCACTTTTACGTTCTTGATGAGATGAATTCGTTTTCGCTACCCCTTGTCCTAGAGCAGTGCAGTTGGTATAAATGTCTGTATAGTATTAACTTCATTTTACTTTGTTTTTCTTTTTCATATTCTCTGTTGTAGTATTGCCAGCTTTCTTTTACTGACTTTTGTGCAAGAACTGTACTGTTAATGAGATCCTTAAGAGAGCTTAAAATAGAATTCCTGGTTAAATTAATACTGTCTGTTAATACTCGTTTGACTCTTCTGCAGACAGGGCAGTTACATCTCAGTGACTGGTTTTTAAAGAAGGATTTGCGAGTTAAGAAAGCACGTACCTCCCTAATGTGAATGTGATCCTCAGAACTTGAATTATGCTTATGTAAATGTTTATGGAGTTTTATTATTATTTTTTAAACATCTGTAACAGAGAAACCTAGGGGAAAGCCCAGTTAAAATTCTTCTGATAATATTTCAAATTGACGTGGTGATGAACCAGACTGGTTCAGGAGCTCAGTTATTTCCTTCTTGGGGAAACAAAAATCAATAGTGATAAAAGAGACATTTTGGCATTGTGGATGGCAGTGCAGATTTTGGAAAGATTGTCATTTGGAGTGCATTACCCTTGTGGGTGAGTTAGTTCTTATCCTGTGGAAGAACACTGGGGAAGTTATGTGGGGCTGTGTACTTGGAAACTGGTTAAACGAACAAGCTGAATTTCATATACTACACAGGAATTCATGTTTGGACAGTTTATACTTTTAGGGAGGGTGTGTGTGTATTTATTTATTTGTTTATTTGAGGTTGCCTCATTAAAACTCTGTCCTTTCTTCCTTAATACCTGGCGTTAGCACCTAATAAAGGGTTGTATATGCAGTGGACACAGGCACCGCCTAACACCGCCACCACCACGTGAAGTGGCACGGAATGCATTTGGTAAATGGCAAACCTTATGCACTTTGCTCATGAATTCCAGAAATCGAATGGTAATTGGAACACTTGACATCTTATTTTACTCGAGTTGGGCTCTGTGTAAACAGTTCCTCATGCATCACTGATACTGCAAAAGACTTAGATCTTGTAGAATTCCAACAGGGTATTTATTAACAAAGCAGAAAGCTCTGATATTTTTATTGTATTTTCACGGACACTCCTTACCTTAGGTAAATGTTGGCGAGAATTTGCTGAATTCTTTTAGTTCTAAGGCGTGATAGAAAGTTTGAACTTGACGTAGATAATAAGCAGACTCGTTCATCTGACGAGGGCATCGTGGTGACGCACTTTCCCACGATGGAGGGAACTCAGAAAAGCCAATGTTTGACATGTAACTGAGTAACATGAATATGGTCGTCTATGGAAAATTTATGCTGGTAGTACCATTATTAGGTATCAAGTAAAAAAAAAAAACCCGACAGACACAATTGAATAAGAGTGAGTTTCAGAGGAAGAAAAAGTGCCACCAAATGTGTGTTGGTTTTGGTAGCAAATTGTATTTTACATTTTTAAGTGAGGTAATTCTCATAAATAATGGACATAATATAAGTTAAGAAAAATGTGTTACCACAAAGCACAATATTAGCATGTAGTTTATTTTGTCCTTGAGTAGTTTGAAGTTTAAAATATCTTTGTATTATTGAATGATAATTGTGTTTTGAAAATTAACTTTTAATGTAACTTTGCACAATAAATACTTATGTTGTTAACTAATATATTTTTAATCAATGCTTGTCACTGTTGTAATGTTAGGAAATTAATTTATTGTTGTAATTAAAAAGGCAAGATAAAAAGCTTAGAGAGTACAGTATATAAAAACAGACTTTTAATAGTTGGCAGGGCAGCACTGTTATTAAATTGCGTGATAGTATTTAAGGTGTGAAATGAGTATTTTTCTAAATAGCAATGGCTCTTACGGTATAATGAGCTACTTGTGAATTTGTCACTTAGGTTAAATGCAGACTTTGTAGAAGCACAGCTATGAGGTGTATTTTTATATTAAAGTTAACTGAGAAGACCTAGAAATTGTTGCAAAATTACACTAAAATGGCTATAAATTTGTTAGTGAAATTTACTTTTGAAAATGAAAATTATTTTTCTTTTGCTATTACAGCTCTTTTAAACTAACTAGAAATCTGTTCTTGAAAAAAGAAATACTACAACACTTAACCGTCTTTTAGCTTAACAAGTCTTCATGTTATTTAAACTGCCTCTAAAATCCTAGCTCTGTTTCTCACGTATACAGCACTGGCTTTGAGTCTAACACCAGCCCACCCACACCATACGCCCCGTGTCAGAGGAAAGACTAGACCCACCTTCTTACTTATGAAATGGACATTGGATAGACTTCCTTCTCAGAGTGTTTTGAAAGAAATAAAAGCCTAATGAAAACCAATGATATATTGTTACTAATAATTTTGTGCTCTTCATAAAACTTCTTTCTGTAACTTCCATTTATTTCTTCAGAACATATATGCCTTTGTAACATATGTACAAGTTTTATTAACTTGGAAATCCATTCACTTAGATTTATCTCCTTTCCTTTATTCATATCTGTCACTGTGCTCTTCTCTTAGACGGCCAGTTTCAAGAAGGTGCAGCATTTATTTTGTTTTAGAAAATAATATCTCAAATGATGAGTTAATTCAAATCTTGACTCCAAATACTGTGAAGACTTAGAGCAAGTCCCAGGCTCAATCTCTCATCTTTGAAGCGGGATTTCTAAAACACAGTTGTTAGAAAGAGTTAGTGGAAGAATGCTCCCTGGTAAATGCAGAATAACTAAGTGAATGGATTTCCAAGTTAATAAAACTTGTACATATGTTACAAAGGCATGTATGTTCTGAAGAAATAAATGGAAGTTACAGAAAGAAGTTTTATGAAAAGAGCACAAGATTATTAGTAACAATATATCATTGGTTTTCACTAGGCTTTTATTTCTTTCAAACCACTTTGAGAAGGAAGTCTAGCCAATGTCCCTTTCATAAATAAGAAGGTGGGTTTAGTCTTTCCTCTGACACGGGGCGTATGGTGTGGATGGGCTGGTGTTAGACTCAAAGCCAGTGCTGTGTACATTTTCTAGTCTGAGTCACTGTTGTCATTCCCATCTCATTGACTTTTTTTTTAAATTGTCTTTTTTTTAAGTTATATAAAAACAGAAGAAACAGGAAAATTCTTTCAGAAAAATAATTATCTGTTAGCTGAAAGGGAGCTGGAACAGGCTTACCTGAGGTTTCAGACTGCCTTCTATACAGCATTCTAGATGATTTTTGTATAACATATCTGTGTCAATAAAATGCAAAGGTTTTACTATGAGGATGAAATCTAGGGCTAAATTTCTGGAACTTTGACAAATGAAAATTGAAATTTAAAACTGATGAACACTAAAAGAACTTTAAAAACTCCTAAGTTTTCACCTATTCGGAGCTTGTGTTTAGATTGTGTCTTTTGTATTTTTGCTTCATTGATTCAGATGGAACTGTATTTAACTCCTTAGTTACCAGAATGATTATTACATGATGTTGTTGTTGATTGTCTTTGAGTCCAACACGACTCATAGTGACCCTATGAACAAAATGCATGAAGCCCCTCTACAACTATCAACATTTCTCAAAGTTCATAGAGTTCCCATACGCATGTAGTTTAGAAAGTGGATGCTACTCCTGCTTCCTGAATGATGATATCACATGCAAGTATAATTATACTGAAGGAACTAGAAAAAAGAACAACTCCTGTGTTAGTCGGATCTGACCTGAAAGTACACAACAAGGAAAATAAAAGGAGGGGAGAAAAAACCCACAGAAACAAAGGGCAGCTCGGGAGGACAACACAAAGTTTATAAAGGAGTGTGCAGAGAGCTGGCATTGGAGACTAAAATAAAAATGATTTTAAAAAAGACTGGCAACAGTTTATTGACAGGGAACTACTGGCTGTGTAAGCCAAGCATCAAAGAGCGCCCCAGAGAAGGCAGAGAATTCTAGAAGGATGGTGGCCTGCATTATTATCATTGACTATGCAAAGGCATTTGACTGTGTGGACCTTGATGAATTAGGGACAACATGTGAAAAATGGAAATTCAGAGTATTCCATTGTGCTCACACAGAACCTATACACAGACCAAGAGGTGACCTTTTGAGCAGCATGAGGGGATACTATGTAGTTTAAATTCTGTACACTGAGCACATAATCCAAGAAACGAGGCTGAATGAAGAAGATGCAGTATCAGAATTAGAGACTTATTTACTACCTGTGATATATCACCAATACAATCTTATTTGCTGAAGTTCCTTGCTGAATAAGCACTCACTGAAAGATCAGGGACTACAACCTTCAGAATGAATTCAACTTGAACTTCAAGAAAACAGAAATCTCTGCAGCTGGACAATAGACCTGGCAAGGATTGCCTTTTACTCCCATGGTCTATACCCACGGGAACAACAGAAATCAGAAGAGTTATTACACTGGACAAGTCTACTGTCAAAGAGGTCTTTAAAAGGCAGAGAGGTAACTTTGAGGACTAATTGACGTTTGACCCAAACTGTGGTATTTTCCATTGCTTCATATGATTGTGAAATTTGGACAATGACTAAAGAATACTGAAGGTGAATTGATAACTTTAATCGTTGTGTTTCCAAAGAATGTTGAGTTTACCATGAACTATGAAAAGAACTGAAAGTGAAGAGGATTTGAAGCGCTTGCTGTAGAAGGTCAGAGACTGTTGCCTTCAGTATGGACTGCATCTCAGCATCAAGATACCATGATAGTTTGAGAAAATGTGAAATTGTCAACGACTTAATCTTACTTGAACCCACAGTCCACACCCTTGGTATCAGCGGTCAGGAAATCAGGAGACATACTGTA